TATGGGTCTCTGTGGGTCTCTGTGGGTCTCTGTGTTGTGACTCTCTGTGGGTGTCTCTGTGAGTCTCTGTGGGTCTCTGTGGGTCTCTGTGGGTGTCTCTGTGGGTGTCTCTGTGTTCTGACTCTCTGTGGGTGTCTCTGTGGGTCTCTGTATTGTGACTTTCTGTGGGTCTCTATGGGTCTCTGTGCGTCTCTGTGTTGTGACTCTCTGTGGGTCTCTGTGGGTGTCTCTGTGGGTCTCTGTGAGTCTCTATGGGTCTCTGTATTGTGACTTTCTGTGGGTCTCTATGGGTCTCTGTGGGTCTCTGTGTTGTGACTCTGTGGGTCTCTGTGGGTCTCTATGGGTCTCTGTGGGTGTCTCTGTGGGTCTCTGTGGGTCTCTGTGTTGTGACTCTCTGTGGGTCTCTTTGGGTCTCTGTGGGTGTCTCTGTGGGTCTCTGTGGGTGTCTCTGTGTTGTGACTCTCTGTGGGTGTCTCTGTGGGTCTCTATGGGTCTTTGTGGGTGTCTGTGGGTGTCTCTGTGGGTCTCTGTGTTGTGACTCTCTGTGGGTCTCTGTGGGTGTCTCTGTGGGTCTCTGTGTTGTGACTCGCTGTGGGTGTCTCTGTGGGTCTCTGTGGGTCTCTATGGGTCTCTGTGGGTCTCTCTGGGTGTCTCTATGGGTCTATGTGTGTATCTGTGGGTCTCTGTGGGTCTCTGTATGGGTCTCTGTGGGTCTCTGTGGGTCTCTGTGAGTCTCTGTGGGTGTCTCTATGGCTCTATATGTGTATCTATAGGCCTCTGTGGGTGTCTCTATGGGTCTGTGTGGGTGTCTCTATGGGTCTCTGTGTGTCTCTATGGGTCTCTGTGCATGTCTTTGTGTATCTCTGTGGGTGTCTCTGTGGGTCTCTGTGGGTGTCTCTGTGGGTCTCTGTGGGTGTCTCTATGGGTCTCTGTGGGTGTCTCTATGGGTCTCTGTGGGTGTCTCTGTGGGTCTCTGTGGGTGTCTCTGTGGGTCTCTGTGGGTGTCTCTGTGGGTCTCTATGGGTCAATCGGTGTCTCTATGGGTCTCTGGGCCACGGGAGGTAATGACAGGGGAGTCAGCTGTGAGTGCGAAGGGACTGGTGGCCACGGGAGGTAATGACAGGGGAGTCAGCTGTGAGTGTGAAGGGACTGGTGGCTACGGGAGGCAGTGACAGGGGAGTCAGCTGTGAGTGTGAAGGGACTGGTGGCCACGGGAGGTAATGACAGGGGATTCAGCTGTGAGTGTGAAGGGACTGGTGGTCATGGGAGGTAATGACAGGGGAGTCAGCTGTGAGTGTGAAGGGACTGGTGGCCACGGGAGGTAATGACAGGGGGAGTCAGCTGTGAGTGTGAAGGGACTGGTGGCCACGGGAGGTAATGACGGGGGAGTCAGCTGTGAGTGTGAAGGGACTGGTGGCCACGGGAGGTAATGACCGGGGAGTCAGCTGTGAGTGTGAAGGGACTGGTGGCCACGGGGAGTAATGGCAGGAGAGTCAGCTGTGAGTGTGAAGGGACTGGTGGCTATGGGAGGTAATGACAATGGAGTCAGCCTGCAGTGTGAAGGGACTGGTGGCTACGGGAAGTAATGACAAGGGAGTCCGCTGTGAGTGTGAAGGGACTGGTGGTCATGGGAGGTAATGACAGGGGAGTCAGCTGTGAGTGTGAAGGGACTGGTGGCTACGGGAGGTAATGACAGGGGAGTCAGCTGTGAGTGTGAAGGGACTGGTGGCCACGGTAGGTAATGACAGGGGGAGTCAGCTGTGAGTGTGAAGGGACTGGTGGCCACGGGAGGTAATGACAGGGGAGTCAGCTGTGAGTGTGAGTGGACTGGTGGCCACGGTAGGTAATGACAGGGGGAGTCAGCTGTGAGTGTGAAGTGACTGGTGGCCACGGGAGGTAATGACAATGGAGTCAGCCTGCAGTGTGAAGGGACTGGTGGCTCTGGGAATGATCGAGAAAGGAGCGTGGCCAGGTGACGTAAGAGGACGGTGGAGTCTGCCGATGGAGCGAGCGTCCGGAGCCAGCCAGAAGGTTCAGGAATGGGGGCGTGGCCTCCGACCGTATATAAGGGGGAGACGTTGCAGTGGGGGTCTCCGCCTGTTCCAGTGAACGTGTCTCTACAATAAAGACACCATCTCAAGACAAATGTGTCGTCATTGTCCCATAGACTTAACATTGTCCCATAGATTTAACATTGTCCCATAGACTTAACATTGTCCCATAGATTTAACATTGTCCCATAGACCTAACATTGTCCCATAGACTTAACATTTTCCCATAGACTTAACATTGTCCCATAGACTTAACATTGTCCCATAGACTTAACATTGCCCCATAGACTAACATTGCCCCATAGACTTAACATTGTCCCATAGACTTAACATTGTCCCATAGACTTAACATTGTCCCATAGATTTAACATTGCCCCATAGACTTAACATTGTCCCATAGACTTAACATTGCCCCATAGACTTAACATTGTCCCATAGACTTAACATTGTCCCATAGACTTAACATTTTCCCATAGACTTAACATTGTCCAATAGACTTAACATTGTCCCATAGACTTAACATTGCCCCATAGACTTAACATTGTCCCATAGACTTAACATTGTCCCATAGACTTAACATTGCCCCATAGACTTAACATTGTCCCATAGACTTAACATTGTCCCATAGACTTAACATTGTCACATAGACTTAACATTGTCACATAGACTTAACATTGTCCCATAGACTTAACATTGTTCCATAGACTTAAAATTGTCACATAGACTTAACATTGACCCATAGACTTAACATTGTCCCATAGACTTAACATTGTCCTATAGACTTAACATTGTCCCATAGACTTAACATTGTCCCATAGACTTAACATTGTCCCATAGACTTAACATTGCTCCATAGACTTAACATTGACCCATAAACTTAACATTGTCCCATAGACTTAACATTATCCCATACACTTAACATTGTCCCATATACTTAACATTGACCCATAGACTTACCATTGTCCCATAGACTTAACATTGTCTCATAGACTTAACATTGTCCCATAGACTTAACATTGTCCCATAAACTTAACATTGTCCCATAGACTTAACATTGTCCCATAGACTTAACATTGTCCCATAGACTTAACATTGTCCCATAGACTTAACATTGTCCCATAGACTTAACATTGTCCCATAGACTTAACATTGTCCCATAAACTTAACATTGTCCCATAGACTTAACATTGTCCCATAGACTTAACATTGTCCCATAGACTTAACATTGTCCCATAGACTTAACATTGTCCCATAGACTTAACATTGTCCCATAGACTTAACAATGCCCCATAGACTTAACATTGCCTTATAGACTTAACATTGTCACATAGACTTAACATTGTCCCATAGACTTAACATTGTCCCATAGACTTAACATTGTCCCATAGACTTAACATTGTCCCATACATTTAACATTGCCCCATAGACATTAACATTGTCCCATAGACATTAACATTGTCCCATGGACTTAACATTGTCCCATAGACTTAACATTGTCCCATAGAAATTTTGATTTAAAGCTTTCGTGACTGCAGTAATTAATATTCTTAGTTTTTTCGGTAAAGTCACGTTGAAGAGAAACAACAAAATAACAAAATATATAAAACAATAATATATATATTTTGTTATTTTGTTGTTTCTCTTCAACGTGACTTTACCGAAAAAACTAAGAATATTGTCCCATAGACTTAACATTGTCCCATAGACTTAACATTGCCCCATAGACATTAACATTGTCCCATAGACTTAACATTGTCCCATAGACTTAACATTGTCCCATAGACTTAACATTGTCCCATACACCTAACATTGTCACATAGACTTAACATTGTCCCATAGACTTAACATTGTCCCATAGACTTAACATTGTCCCATAGACTTAACATTGTCACATATTTATATTCTTAGCTCTTTCGGTAAAGTCACGTTGAAGGGAAACAACAAAATAATAAAAAATATAAAACAACATAGACTTTACGTTGTCACATAGACTTAACATTGTCACATAGACTTAAAATTGTTCCATACACTTAACATTGTTCCATAGACTTAACATTGTCACATAGACTTAACATTGTTCCATAGACTTAAAATTGTCCCATAGACTTAACATTGTAACATAGACTTAACATTGTCCCATAGACTTAACATTGTCCCATAGACTTAGCATTGCCCCATAGACTTAACATTGTCGCGTAGACTTAACATTGTTCCATAGACTTAAAATTGTCCCATAGACTTAACATTGTAACATAGACTTAACATTGTTCCATAGACTTAAAATTGTCCCATAGACTTAACATTGTAACATAGACTTAACATTGTCCCATAGACTTAACATTGTCACATAGACTTAACATTGTTCCATAGACTTAAAATTGTCCCATAGACTTAACATTGTAACATAGACTTAACATTGTCCCATAGACTTAACATTGTCCCATAGACTTAGCATTGCCCCATAGACTTAACATTGTTCCATAGACTTAAAATTGTCCCATAGACTTAACAATGTCCCATAGACTTAACATTGCCCCATAGACTTAACATTGTCCCATAGACTTAACATTGTCCCATAGACTTAACATTGTCCCATAGACTTAACATTGTTCCATAGACTTCACATTGTCACTTAGACTTAACATTGTCCCATAGACTTAACATTGCCCCATAGACTTAACATTATCCCATAGACTTAACATTGTCCCATAGACTTAACATTGTCCCATAGACTTAACATTGTTCCATAGACTTCACATTGTCACTTAGACTTAACATTGTCCCATAGACTTAACATTGCCCCATAGACTTAACATTATCCCATAGACTTAACATTGTCCCATATACTTAACATTGTCCCATAGAGTTAACATTGTCCCGTAGACTAACATTGACCCGCCCCCATCCCCCACTAATCCACCGGACCCCCCCACCTCCATCCTTTCAGCCCCTCCCCTTCCCTCCCCCCCCAACCCCGCCCACCTCGATCAACTTCCGGCGGGACATCCCCGCTTATATATAGCCCCCTCCCCCCATCCCCCTCCTTCTCTTCCGGTTCAGCGGAGCAAGACGCAATGGTGAGTAGGCACGCGCCACCCAACGCAATCCCCGCACGGCGTCGCGCGAAATCCGCCGACATCGGGGCCCCCCTCGCGCCATCGGGGGCCGCCCGCGATGCCGCCTCGCTCGGGGGGATGTGGCGGCCTCGGCTTGGTTCCTGGCGTCTTTGTCGGCGGGTCGAGGCGACGTTGTTTCTCGGTTGAGAGGGCGTCCGTGCTTTGGGTGGTGTAAAAGGCCGAAGCCTCCATGTTGGGTTAACGCCGTTTTACATCGAATTTTGTTGACGGGATAACTTTAAAGGTGGTGGTGGTGGTTGGGGGGTGGTTGTGTGTGTGTTTTTTTATCGGCGTGGGTTTATACATCGCTTCGTGTTGTGTTCGTAAACGCAATGGAATTAACAAAAAGATAAAAAAAATATATAAAATAACGGCAGCTTACAGCAATCCGCTGCGGGTCAACTTTGAACACGTAGACGATTTGAGGCGAATCTGTTTTTTTTCCTCGTCAGATTTAATTAAAATGCTTCGCTGTTTTGCTGCACAGTACTCGGCTCAGGGTTAAACATGAGCGTGATGATAAACATAAATAAATGATAACACTTTAGCGCGACATTTATACCAGGTGTCTCGCACGTGCCCCCCCCTGCAGGCCTCTCGGGCCTTGCCGGCCGAGGCGCGCCATGCCCGGTAGAGCCGCTAGGCAAGCGCCGTGGTCTCGCTCGCGGCCCAGCCGTGATAATCTGTGGGTCGTTGGATCTGATCCTCTGTGGGTCTCTATGGGTCGCTGATCGTCTGTGGGTCTCTATGAGTCTGATCCTCTGTGGGTCTGATCCTCTGGGTCTCGATGGGTCTGATCCTCTTGTGGGTTTGATTATCTGTGGGTCTCTATGGGTCTGATCCTCTGTAGGTCACTATGGGTCTGATTATCTGTGGGTCTCTATGGGTCTGATTCTGTGGGTCTCGATGGGTCTGATTCTCTGTGGGTCTCTATGGGTCTGATTCTCTGTGGGTCTCTATGGGTCTGATTCTCTGTGGGTCTCAATGGGTCTGATCCTCTGTGGGTCTCTATGGCTCTCATTCTCTGTGGGTCTCTATGGGTCTGATCCTCTGTGGGTCACTATGGGTCTGATTATCTGTGTGTCTCTATGGGTCTGACTGATTATCTGTGGGTCTCGATGGGTCTGATCCTGTGGGTCTCTATGCGTCTGATTCTCTGTGGGTCTCTATGGGTCTGATTATCCGTGGGTCTGATCCTCTCTGGGTCTTTATGGGTCTGGGTTTCTGTGGATCTGCGTGTGTTTAACTTTCGCACCGTACGGTAGCCAACCTTGCTAATCTGTGGGTCTCTATGGGTGTCTGTGTGTCTCTATGGGTGTCTGTGTGTCTCTACGCGTGTGTGTGGTGGATTTCTTACCGTGCGTAGCCAACCGCGCGAATCGG